TAGGCCTAGTAAGGATCACTTATAAAGCAGAAAGGGCGAGAGGAGCAGTCACTAGATCTGCACAGAGAGGGATCCCTGTGGCCTTGAGAGAGGGATGCAGGCAGCTTATGATGATCTCTGAAAGGGAAACTGCGGGATAAATACCTCATCTCATTTTCCTCCAGTATCCTGCATGAGGTTTCCACTGTGATTTTATATTAAGCCACTCATTCCTGCCTCCAGTCTGTTGTTTAAACACTATATCACACTGTACAAGGACACACAAAATTCTGGTACCTGTAGGAAAGGTGTTTGAATGAATAGGGTTGGAAAACCCTGAAAGGTAAAAAGCTTGGCTTTTGTAGAAAAAATAAATAACCCAATCAGAAGGAAGAAATTTTAGGGACCAAAACCATTGGCCCACTAAATGTTTGCTGAAGAATCACTGACATGAGGCAGATTGATTAACAGGAGATAAAGCATACAAATTTATTTAACATGTATATATGGGAGTCTTCAGAATGAAGACCCAAAGATACAGAGGAAACTGTCTATTTTTATGCTTGTTTTCAGTAAAGTATGGATAACCATGTAGAAATATAACTGGACAATATGGGTATGATCTTATGATAATAGACTGAGAAAGGAAACCCAGAAAGGCCTACGTTTCCAGATTCTTCTTGGCCTCTCTGAGCATGCATTCCTTCCTTTTGGGTGTGGGGAGGACCTTCTTTGGAATAGCAGTCTTGTGACAAAGTAGAACAGGTAATTTCTTTATGGCCAGTTTTACATAGAATAATTTTAGGTTTTATGGCTGGCTTTGAGAAAACAGATTTTAATGCAAAGGTCAATCTGTAACTTTAAAATCCTTTCTAGGATATACATTTTCTCATTGTTCTTTATTTTTTCTACAAAAGCCAAGCTTTTTACCATTCAGGGTTTTCCAATCCTATTCATTCAAACAACTTTCCTGGGGTTTCCGAATTTTTTGTGCCCTTGTAAAATATAATATAGTGTTTAAACAACAGATGGGAGCCAAGAATGACTGGCTTAAAATCACAGCTCTGACACTTACTGGTTGTGTGATAACTCACATAACTTGGACTCTTACATAGGGAGCCAGGGAAAGGATGTTTGGGGTAGAGGACCTGCAAGAGGAAAGTCTCAAGGTGAGAAAAGCTTTGTGTGTTCCAGAAACAAAAGGAGAGCCAGTGTGGCCCCTTCCTCTGTTTCCAAATGCATCACAATCTCTGCTTCTCTCCTCACTTTTCTTCTCTGACTCTGACTGTCCTTGGCCTTCACTTATAAGGATTTTTGTGATTACACTGGGCCCACTCAGGTAATCCAGAATCATCTCTTAATCTCCAAAGCTTTAATTTAATGACATCTAGAAATTCTCTTATGCCACTTAAGAAAATATATTCACAGGTTAAGGAGATTAGGACATGGACATGGGATGGGAGGGCATTATTGTTTACCACAACTATAAGGAATAAAGCCTTTTAACATCATTTTTATAAGACAATTCCGAATCCCTAGAAAACATAAAACTCAACCAGAAAATAATTAAGATATTTTCTTTTTAAACTTTAAATTCTTAGTTGCCAGATTATTATAATTAATCAAACATTAAAAGGAATGTTTAAAGAATATTGAATAGATAGCAGCATTCTTGGGATGGCTATAGAACTATGCCATAAATACATTTCCAAAGACAAAACCCAAAACTATGCTGCAGAACTGACCTGGTGCTATTGTGTCACAATTGCCACTGCTGAACCAGAACTAAACTGGAACCCATGGCTGCTGTCACAACCACAAATTGGCCCATCTGATATCTCCTATCCAGCAGTAGCAGAAGCTTTAAGCAGAGTTTCTGTTCTCCTGTCTTCCAATTCTAAAGAGAAGTCTTTTAAATGTGAGACTGTTTAGTGAAACCCAGGCCACTTATCTGCATTCTAGCTGCAAGGGGGTGGGTATTGAAGTTCTGAAGCCTAGATAAGTGAAGCAATACTTTAACCTGAAAATTTCACTTTATAAAGGAAATAAATGAACCAGTATTTTTCAATCTTTTTGTCCTTCAAGTTCTATAGTAAAAATAAAATAAAACAAAAGAACATACATTTGAAACTAAAATTTTTTTACATAATATTTTTTACTTATGACATGAGATGGTATCTTAATGGTCTGAACAAGGGCAGGTCATGTCATAATTGAGAAAAGTGTTTTGTCTTGATGCTTTTGAACTCTGCGATCCCATTAAGACATGATTTGAGGAGTGTCTGCAAAGCATAATTTCTATTTATTATATTCCATACCATTTATTTTTTATATGCTGGTTGGGACCCATTAAGTTGTTTTCATTACCAACAAATGGTTCTCAATCTGCATTTTTTAAAATATGCAATATAAATGACTGGTAGCCACAAATCTTAATATTTGTGTAAAGGGAAATGGTTAGGAGAGAAGAAAGTTCTGAGGGAGCAGAAATGTTAAAGGGGTAAGATTTGTACAAAAGTGTATTGGTGGCCCTGATTAGCTTAATTTCATTGATTCATTCAGTCAATGCACAAACATTTAGAAAGTGAACAATATGTGACATGTAATTTTTTTTTTTAAACGTAGAAACAGGGTCTTGCTCTGTTGCCCAGGCTGGAGTGCAGTGGTGCTATCATAGCTCACTGCAATCTAGAACTCCTGGGTTTAAGTGATTCTCCAATCTCAGCCTCTCAAAGGGCTGGCATTATAAGTGAGAGCCACCACACTCGGCCTGTGCCATGTAATTTTTGTAGGTTCTGAGGATATTAAAATGAAGACATTGTCCACGGTCTCAAGAAATCTTAAGGTGGCATTAATCATCACTAAATGTTTAATAGCTGTAGTTATATATGTGTAGCTGTAGTTATAAATGTGCAATAGCTGTAGTTATATAAGGAAACTCTGAAGTAGAGCTACAGACATGTGTGGAGTGTGGTTTGTGAAATATAAGAAATCCTAGGTACTGATTTTGCCTGTGAGAACCAGGTAAAGGTTTCCTAAAGGAAATTTTTGAAGGAAGAAACCCCCAAAGGAGTCAAAGGTTATTTGTGGAAGAAAGATTACATAAAGGATTACTGTTTGCAAAAACAAAGTTGCAAGAACAGCAGTTGTTCAGTGCATTGAGCTATAGAAATCCGTACTTGGGGAGAGGTGAATTGTAGAGGTGGACAAGTATCAGATAAAGCACAGAAATTGAGTATTGTTCTGCAGATATTAGCAGAACCAGAGAAAGCTTTTTATTTTTGCAAAGATGGGATGACAAAATTTACAGGTTACTCAAGTCTCTCATTGCTGTGGTATGGATTGATTGTAAGGTGGGAAGAATGTAGGTAGGGCTGGAAGGTTGATACTCGGTTCTCTTCTAGGTGCCTGGAGATGCCTATGTATGGCACACTCTGGAAGAGATGACTCATGGGCCATCCATGAAGTGATGAATATGAGAAAGAGTTCATTGGGAAGAATCAAAAACAGGAATAGAACATAGAAAAGCAGGCTAAGAAGAATTAGGAGCATAGGATCTGGGCCAGGAAGAAAGGCATTATTAGAAAACCTTGTGAAAAGATTGCGAGGGCAAATAACATTTGCCCTCACAATCTTAATTTGTTGTCACAAACTTAATTTGTTGCCCTCGCAACAAATTAAGTTCTTGAAGTGTGCCTTTGGATTTGGCAATTCACACACTGGTAATCATGGCAAGGACATTGTTAGTGAGTAGTTGGTGTAGAAGTCATGTAATCATGGAAAGGGTAAGGTGAGTGACACATAGGAAGTGACTTCAGATTACTTGAGCCTTAGAGGTTTGATAAAATATGAAGGATTTAGTAATTGATGGAATGATTCAATTGAAAGACACTAAAATACATTTACATGTGGAGGGAAAGGAATCGAAAGTACATCAAAATTTAATTGGGATCTTAAGTTTAACACTTAATTGGTTTTTAGTGTGACCGAACTTATTTTCTGATAAAGTTATTAACAGTAGAAGGAAGATCATAAAACAACAGGTGCAGACTTAAGCTGGTAAACTGGGATGATTTCACCCTTCGGTTTATGTGAAAAGTCCTCAAATGGGAAGATTTAGAACACAGGTGACAAACTACCTCTCCAGCCTGGGGGAAAAATATTAAGGTTAGAATGCAGCAGGGTCACAGGTGGAAAGGCCTTGGGTAGACAAAACACATGAAGGAACCAGATCCTATTTGGGAAATAAACAGTAAAATGACCAATAAAATCGAGACATCTGTACCAACAAAGGCTTATAGGACTGTACTAAGACAAAAACTAAAAATACTGCTTTCACTTTGAAAGGTGGTCTTACTAATAACCTAACTGGAAAGTATACTACCAAAGATAAAGTGAACGAAATTAACTCACAACTACCCTTTAATTAAAACACATGTGGCCTAACTCTTAGCCTGAAAAAGGTTCCTGAGGGGGCAGAAGTGCAAACTTCTCCAGCTTCCTCAAGAAGAGACAGTACCAGATGCCTCTCGCTGTCAAGAATTGTCTGCTACCAATCTGCTACATGAAAAAAACAGAAAAAGCCAGTTTCACAGCCGCTTTTATCAATACCCTAAAACAGGAAAAAAACCATGCCATTTCTACCCTTTAAAAGTTACCGCTTTTCTCGCTGCCTAACATTTCCTTCCTCTTTTCGTGTCGTGTCCACTTTTTTTCAGGTAAACGAACATTTTTGCTGCTGTGTATCCTATTCACTGCCGTAAAAGTCCCCGCCTCAGACTATGGTTATTACCTTTGTAAAAATCTTAAATAAACCAACGGGAAAGAGGTGCCATTCCCAAAGTCCTTTCAAATGTAAGGGCTTATTTTCACATTCCCTTTGTTCTGAGCACGCGAAATCCGCCATTTTAAGACAGCTACAGACTTTGAAAAACACCCAAGTACGCTGAGCCAAAGCGGCTTCCGCGGAAGCAAGTTGGAACTGGAAACAAATGCTAACTAAACAAAGCATACTACGTTACCTTCACGTCAGTGACAGCCCTTCGTGTGACAAAATGAGTGGCCCTGAAAAGGGCCTTTTGTGAGCAATGCCTTATGGAACAAGAAACCAGGTTAGCCACCAAACCCGTAAAGAGTGCGACCCTGGCGCTTGAGTGCGTAGACAACGTCCATAGCCGTGACCGTCTTGCGTTTGGCGTGTTCCGTGTAGGTGACAGCATCACGAATCACGTTCTCCAGAAAAACTTTGAGCACACCCCGAGTCTCTTCATAGATGAGACCGGAAATGCGTTTAACACCACCGCGACGAGCTAAACGCCGAATCGCAGGCTTAGTAATGCCCTGGATGTTGTCTCGCAAAACCTTACGGTGACGCTTAGCACCGCCTTTGCCCAGGCCTTTACCACCTTTCCCTCGACCAGACATGATGAACAGCAAGCAGCAACCGCACTATTGACGCCCAGATGCTTGATGCAGCGTCTTATATATCAATTTTGCGGACCTTTTTGAAAACTGAAACAGAGGGGCGGGAACAAGCTCTGTGTCCCCGCCTCTCCTCTACCTAACTGGGCGTCCCCTACAGTTGCCTAGGGAGAGAAAGGGCGTAGAGTGAGGAAACGTGTCTGGCTCCTTCCTGTTTCCTGGCCTGGGTCCTGAATCCAGTGCCTGTGGGCTCTCTCAGAGAACTAATATTGTATTAATACAAGTTTCCTAACTGGTCTTATTTGTGAAACGAAGGCAGTAAAGCTACATTTGTTTACAAAATGGAGAGATACCACAATAAAATTAATTTTTAAATGTGAATATTCTTTAGAAAGATGTGTTATCCTAAATTCTTACAATCTACCAATATTCATTATTAAATTTGGCCAGTCATGAAACGTTGCGTTTGACACAGACATGCATAAATAAATAGTTTTCAGCACTCCTGATAAACAGAGAGTTCTAGGAAGGAGTGCCAATATTAACTAAATTTACATTCTTTGTGTTCCAATTTATAAAGCACTATGTGCTATGTTAATATGAGGAATCCCAGGCTGGAAGACCTAATCATCTACTAAGTGATATTGCTGGGCTTGACTCTGGAGTCTTACGACTTCGCTGTCTGTCACTGTTTCCATGCCAGTTAAGAATTAACATTACATTATGGTGAATAAACCTTTGCAAATTAACACTAATAAATTTTGTGAAATAGTGCCCTAATAAAAACAGCATCTGAACTAAAGTTCTACACACAGATCATAGGTTGATATATTTAGTAGACAAATTTCAACATTTACTCGCACATACCACACATTCACATTCAGTGCCTTTTATGTACTACAGAGGTACTTTTAAAAATCCCTTTTCTGCTCATGCTTACCTTATAGGCAATCAGAAGATTATTCATTTCTTACAGTTAAGTCTACTTGGAATTTAGTTCAGGTCCAGTTACCTGCAGGTATAGACACATGGGTCTCCCATGCTTCCTTTTTGATAAAGGTGCCGAACAAGCATCATTCATTCATTCAACAATTTAGGGTCTACTACAAACCAAGAATGATGTACAAATACCAGGTTTACAAAGATAATCACATCTGTTCTTTTAAAGAGCTCAAAGTCTGGTAAAGGGAAGAGAAAAGTAAACTCAGGGTGAGGGGTCAGACATCAGCCTAGTATACTCCTAGCTGCTGCCTAGTATCTATGGGTGGAGCATCACCTTGTTAGAAGCTTGTTAGACATACAGAATTTTGGGCTCAACCCCAAATCTACTGAATTCATATTGCATTTTTAATGAGATCACCAAGTGAGTTGTATGCTCATTCAAGTTTGAGAAGAATTGTTTTAAAGCTGTGCTGTCCTATATTATCCACTAGGAACATGTACTCATTTAATTTTAAATTAATTAAAATTAAAAATTAATTTCTTCACTCACTCTAGCCACATTTAAGTGCTTAATAACCACATATGGGTAGTGGCTACTTATTGGACAACACAGATACAATACATTTTCATCGTTGCAGAAAGTTCTCCTGGGCTGTGCTGTGCTATGAGAAGGGATTTCTTCAGAGGAGTTTCTAATTCAGACAAGAAGGGAAGGGGAAAGAAGTGTGCTGAATGCATGGGTACTCAGGAAGTGAGGATTTAGAGTATTTTTGAAGTACAATAGAAACTAGCCAACTTCTGGATGTACCAGATATTACAGATAGAGAAAAAGATGTATATAAAGGAAATTGGACATTTTTACGAAATAAAATTCATACACCATAGTTGTGCTTGAAGAGAAGTTTCAAAGGGCCAGTGTCCTTAGGTAAGACCATCTGACAGAAAATTAAAATAAGTATGATTTTTCATGGACCTTCTGAACTCATTTGATACTAATACAAAGCTTTATTTTCTGTATAGTCCATGTTTTCTTTGCCTTTTTTGTTATTCATTCTACATAGTCACCTTACTTTTGAAAACTTAGAAATTCACTGAATTATGGAATGCTTAAGCACTGCCCCTGTGGATTGACCTAGTGAACACTACCTGTATCTGTCAGTCATTTACTATGGTGGTGGTGGTGGTGGTGGGGTTAACACAAAATTGAGACAATAAGAAGCTGTAAATTAGTTATCACTTATCTAAGAAGTTTTTGTTAGCTATTTTTTACATCTATGAAATAAATAGTTCAATCCTTAGTGTAGTTCACAATCTACTGTTTCAGGTTATATACACATTTAGAATTCAAAAGAAATAAAAAAAACTTTTCTTTAGGGCTACCTCAAAATATGTGAAACATTTCATGACTTCAAGTTTGCATTCCTACGGGGTGATCCAGCTTTCAGGAACCTTGTCCATGCAACAGTTTCAGAGAAGATAAACACCTGGGTGCTTATTTCAGAGAAGATAAGCAATAACACAGTAATTATACCAAAGCCCCTTCCTTCTATAAACATGTGGAGAACTTTATTGGCAAAATTGAGTCTCAGTGATTGTCCTCCAGGAAAGACAGAGATTTACTTACAATTAAGGAAATGGTCCTTATCCCCAATGCCTTTGCACATCTTAGGTACCTAACTAGCCATGGGAACCAGTAAGTGTTATATAATAATGAAATGGTGGCATCTTCTAATTGAATCTATCTAACTTGATAAGTAGTTACAATTACTCAACAACTGATATTATGACTACAATAATGACCAAAATAATAAACATTTAGAAATCTGAATTTTAATTGTATTTTTATGTCTACATTACAAAGCTATGGACTAAAAAAAAGGGCCTATAGTATTCTTGCGACTATTGCTATTGACAATGATGCCATCAAAGATGACATGCAGCACCTTCCTACAGACATTGATAAAATGCCTCTCTACAGGAATAATCAAGTATTATTGTAACAAAATTGAGTATTGCTAACCCAGTGCTATGTGTTTGCTTCCTTAACACACAATATTTGTATTTATTTTTTTGGCATATAACATATTCTTAAGTCTCAGAGACTTGGTTCCAGTCTGTGCCTTCCAATAAATGATAATTTAGAATAAGCCAAGTGATTTTTGTAGAATTAGTTGAATAAGGAGAGATGACATCTTTAAAGTTGATTATTTTATTTTGGATTATAGGAAAAAATTCCCAAATCACCATTCAGCATAGGCAGGAATAAGTAGAGTTTTGGAAATATGATTATTTTTATTAGGAGAAACATAGTGCCGAAATACCTTTCTTATTTATTTCTTTATTTTGACAAACATAGGGGTTAATTTCAGTATCTGATTATTTGATGGAGAATATTAAATTTGTGCTTACTCATCTATAAAACAAGATACTTCTATTAGGCCTATTGATTTGTAAACTAAAAGAGATGGAATAATAAAGTCACTCATGCTTGCTATGAAATGATTGCTCAACTCCTTAGGTGGACAAATTCAGTCAATTAATTTAAATTGTGACAGCCTTGTTCATATGTCGTGAGTAAAAAGCCTAAGGAGAATTATGAAAGTTCACAAAGTGATTTAAATGAGAAGTTTTTTCTTTGTAATCCTCTGTGTCCATACTCGCAATGTTGGAATTTGTATTTTAAATGTAATTTTGAAATACGGAAAATATATACAAAATTCTATGCTAAATATTGAAGGAAGAAATCTTATGGACCAGAATGTCTTTCATTAAATTATTTACAATTTTAAAGAGAGGGGACATAATCGCATAATCTGTCAATGCTTACAGCTCTCAATTCTCACATCTGGTAAAATGATGTCTTATCTGCCGTTCTATAACTCCATGATTCAGTTTTCTTTCTTGTAGATGTGGTGTTTGGCCTCTAATGTCAATTCTAGGTCTGAAAACTCTATGATCCTTATTTTTAAGACAAGATTGGTGACTCTATTTACCAATGTTTATCTAAAAGACAAATCGGAGCAGTCTCAGTCTCAACTTTCTGAAAAATGTTTAAATTACTAAAACACGGGGATCAAGTACAGCTTACATACTGGTAACCCAAATACTTTTTTTTAAAAAAACTTATCTTTTCTAAAATAATCGTCTGTTTTGTACATAGAACTTTCTACCTCAGTGCCAATTCCTAAGAGCTTGATGGAAACAGCTTGCAGCTTGCCTGTGCTATTGCTCCTGCGAAAAAATCCAATTTCCCTAAACATTTTAGTAAATATCAGTTTATTTATATAAAGTTAAAAAGATAAGAATACGCAGAACAACGTCCTGGAAGGGAGATTTGCAGATGAAGCAGGGAGAAATAGTATTTTTAAGGAAAACCTGAAAGTTGTCTCGATTTGACCAAAGTTTGAAAGAGAGTTGGGGGAATCAGGAAAGTTTCAGGGTGCCAGTTTTGAAACTAGGTATAGAAAATGAGGCAGGAATGAAGCCCAAAGTCCCTCGGGTCCGTTTCCCCCAAATCTCTAATTATTTCATGCCCAGATTTCTTATATTTTTATCCTTTTTTAAGGGGCAACAAACACAGCCATTCGGCAGAGCCCAGGAGCCCTTCTCTAGCAGCGCGGCGCATGGAACAGGGAACCAATCATCACTCAGCGTCTCTCTATATAAACCCTCCGCCTCTGGCGCACAGGGCACGCCGTTCTGACAGTTTGAGGTTACTTTTGAGTTTTCTGGTAAATCAGAACCATGTCGGAAACTGCTCCAGTTGCTCCTGCTGCTCCCGCACCTGCGGAGAAAACGCCCGTGAAGAAAAAGGTGAAGAAAGCTGGCGCAGCTGCTGCGAAACGCAAGGCGTCTGGCCCCCCGGTGTCAGAGCTGATCACCAAGGCTGTAGCTGCTTCCAAGGAGCGCAGCGGCGTCTCCCTGGCCGCGCTCAAGAAGGCGCTGGCGGCTGCGGGCTACGACGTGGAGAAGAACAACAGCCGCATCAAGCTTGGTCTGAAGAGCCTGGTGAGCAAGGGCACCTTGGTGCAGACCAAGGGCACTGGCGCTTCTGGCTCCTTCAAACTCAACAAGAAGGCAGCCTCCGGGGAGGCTAAGCCTAAGGCGAAGAAGGCAGGCGCAGCCAAGCCCAAGAAGCCCGCAGGGGCAGGCAAGAAGCCCAAAAAAGCGACCAGCGCCGCCACCCCGAAGAAGACCGCTAAGAAGACCCCAAAGAAAGCAAAAAAGCCGGCAGCGGCTGCTGGGGCCAAGAAAGTGGCTAAGAGTGCGAAGAAGGTGAAGGCTGCGAAGCCGAAGAAGGCTGCAAAGAGTCCGGCCAAAGCCAAGGCTTCTAAACCTAAGGCAGCCAAGCCTAAATCTGCTAAGCCCAAAGTTGCCAAGGCTAAGAAGGCAGCTCCTAAGAAGAAGTGAAAAACTGGCGGGATGTTATGCTTTGGAAATCTCAAAGGCTCTTTTCAGAGCCACCCACTGATCTCACTCAAAAGAGCTGAGCCGGTTATTTCTTTAAATTCCCGCCATGATGTGTGATTGGCTACGCGGTTTCACTATGCTGGGCGGGCGCGCGCACGCAGCAGCTCAGATGCAAGCCGTGCTACAATCGTACGGGTTTCATTTTGAAAAGGTTTGGTTTCTAGTGCAGAGGAGGTGGTGTAAATACTTTATCCTTAAGGCAAGGGCAAGACGCCACGCGCGTAGTCCTCACGCGGACCAGAAACGAGCCCCGGGTCATTACTGGTTGCCAGGGGCAGGTGGCGAGGGGTGAGCGTCTACTGGCGGGCGGAGTTACCCGCCAGTTCGAGGATCTTGGCCTGGTACTCTAGCACCGCCGCCAGGTACGCCCACGCGCCGGTCTCTACGCGCTCAGTTGCCTCGGCGGAGGCGGCTCTATTCTGCCTACTGGGACTTGTAGGTCTGCGCAGGAAGAGCGGGTCTTGTTGGCTCGAGTGTGGTCTCGGCTCCGGTGCCCAGACAAGTTAAAAAAAAAATGCAATTCTATGAATAGACCAATTGAAGGAAGGGGTTACTATGTTCTCTGGCTCAGTTTCCTAAAATTCGCTTTCCTGTTGGTTTGCAGAGTTTGTTAAAGTGGCCAATCAGAACGTCATTTTCGATTTATTTGCATAGTCCTCCGAGAGAGAATATAATGCGCCAATCAGAGGTTCGGATATTACAATTTGCATATACTTGGAAACAGACTATGGGCCTGGAATTCACCCTGCCCCCTTCCCCCCTCCCCCCAAATCAATGGAATTCTCTTTTTAGAGACCCAGGCACATTGTCAATCTACTTAAATCTGCATAATCATTGCTACCACCCTAACGCTACGGAACAGAATAAAATATAAAAGGCTTTTTTGGCAGTTTATAATATACTCCCTTTTCCAGATTGCTTCCTCACGGGTTACTGAGAAGGTCCAGGGAGCCAGCATTAGCTGTCTGTTTGGTGAGTAGCTAAGGAACTAGGAGGGAAAAAGGAAGATTCTCAAAAGGTTGAATGGAGCTTGAAATTGGGCAAAGAAAATAAACTGTGGGAAGATGGGTTGACCTGGATATCTCACCATTTCCATTTCACCCTGTAGTCTGAGGCTTTTTCTTTTGGTTTTGGGAAAACCCACTTAGTTTTACTGATACATCCTGACAAAATATGACTTCTACAGACATTTATGGGACTCTGGATGGGGGGAAAATACATGTTTATATTCACAAACCCTAAATACAATTTAATACTTTAATTGTGAGTACAGGCAATTAATCACTGGACTTCACAGTAATTGTGACTTTTTCATCAATGGAAGACATTTTCATATCACTTTACAGTTACTGCAGGGATCTTGAAATAAAGTTTACACTCATTGTTTTTCAAACTGACATTATTAAACCTGCTGCTGATCCTTATTTGATGTATTTGTAAAAATGCACACATATTATACATTTAAAAATTGGTAACTGTATTTTAATGTCACTACTTTATTATGCTGTATACTTCTATGTATTTTTGTAAAAAAAATCCGTTTGAGAAGGTGTGTACAGATTTCCACAGACTCTCCAGAGTGCACAGCACAAAACAAGTCATGAAGTCCTGAGTAGGTCTCCAGCAGGACCATATAACATAAATCCCTCATGATTAAAGTGCCCCTGCATCTTATTTGTTTACATTCCCTTTTCTGTTAATAGTGTATTACATTTTACATCCTGTTTAAACTTCTGGGAAAACAAAAACATGTACCTTGAATCTTTCTTGTTCTCCTAAACAAGAATTCAGGTTTTTTTTGGAACCACAGCTACATCCCACAATGTCTTTTTTTCTAGAGAAAGCAACAAAACCTTCCATTATGAGATTGGCTTGGTTGAGAAAGAGATCTGAATAAATGGAAGAATGTGAAATATCCACTCAAAATAATCTTTTTGAAAATAACAGATTGAATGATTGAGTGGGAAAGATAGGTATGTGGGTGCCAGCAAAAACTTCCCTTTTGTTCTCTGAAGCTTCGCTGAAAATCAACTGACAAAAGACATTAATAGAAAAGGCAAACAAATTTATTTGATTATAATTTTATGTAATGTAAGATCCTTCAGAAGGAAGACCCAGAGATATAGAGGAAGCTGTCCATTTTTATGCTTACATCCTACAAAGTAGAACAGTTATGTAGAAATATGATCAGGAAAAAAGGGTACAATCTAATGCTAAGAGACTGGGGAAACCCAGCAAGGCTTGTCTGTCTAGATTCTTCTTGGCCTCTCTAAGCATACATTCCTTCCTACTGGGTATGGGGCAGGACCCTCTCTGGAATGGGAGACAGACAGTCAGACAGTCAAACAAAGTAGGTCAGATAGTTTCTTTATGACTAGCTTTTACAAAGAAAGATGGGGGAAAAGTTAGTGTAATATTTTTAGGTGTTATGGCTGGCACTGGAGAAATGGAATTCTGGTTTCTATGACTTGCCTTGGGGAAGAGGGATTCCCGTTTCTATGGCCAGCCTCAGGAGAAAATGAGGGGCCAGAGACTGGAGAGCAGAAGGTCAGAGAGAAACTTTTGCTTCTGAAGGACTTTATTTTGGGGTATCGTTCTCTGAGCCTCAACAGAGGGAACAGACATGGAAAGTTGTTAACGCCCAGAATGAGAGTGAGGCTTTTGATGAAAAGTGATGAGGAATAAGAGATTTATGTGGGAATATGGCATTCAACAAGAGCAGTCCACATGACTGTAACATATCTCTAGTTCCCCAAGGCTTACAAAGCACTTCTGTAATTGTGCCAGTTGGCCCTCATTATAACACATTTACATTAGGTGTAGTGAAAATGCTTGTTTTAAAGTTAAGAAAAAATTAGGTGAAATGAACCACTTAGTATCAGGATATGGTGGACTTGCATCTGAAACAGGTTTCTTGATTCCTAATATCATATTCCTTGCACTGCTCACCATCTATTACATCAACAGGAAAAGGCATAGAGTTCTCCAGTTCTTTTTTAGGCTCACTGAGAAAGAAGCAGAGTTCAGGTATTTCAATTTTAGGCCCATTGTGATCTATCCATTTCACAAGCCCTTTGGAATACAAAGAAGGAATTAAACATGATAATTCAATCAATGACCTTCTAGAGTTTTACTCTCATTTACATAAATTCATATTCATATTTCTTTGCCTTGGACAGGCCCTCATTTTCAAGGAAACTCAAACTTATTTAAATCTTTCTCCATTTCCCAAAATTTCTGTAGCAGTTACATCAAGGTTACAATGAATGTCTTAAGATGGATAAAAAAGAGTAAAGATGTCTTAGCATGGAAGTTGTGAAGGGCATTTCCATATTATCTTTTCTGCTGGAGAGTACTTATGCATATGGCATAGGTCTGAAACAAAACAATTTTTAGGACAAGTCTGAAGTCATCACTTTTTCCCTTCTTTTTTTTTTTTTTTGAGACAGAGTCTCACTTTGTTGCCCAGGCTAGAGTGGCCTGGCATAAGCCTAGCTCACAGCAACCTCAAACTACTGGGCTCAAGCAATCCTCCTGCCTTAGTCTCCCAGAGTGCTAGGATTACAGGTGTGAGCCACCGTGCCAGGCTACTTTTTCCCCTCTTAGTAAGTGTCTGGCTCTTTTTAACTGGAGGAGGCTGATTTTTATTGTTGTGGAGGCCTCTATTATCCCTGTAACTCAGTCACTAAATCATGTTGAATTTTAAAGAATTCTCAGTAAATCTGACATTTTCTCCCTTCTTACATTCTCTCTTCATCCACTCACAGCTGGGGTGATTCCACTGCTTCCTAACCAGTTCCCTAACTCTAGTTTTAACGGTGTCTAATTCCTAAATTCTGGTTATTCCACAAAAACAAAATATACCTCATGAGGAGGGTTACTGGCTTCCCACTGCCTTAAGTTCAAATGAAAATTCTGTAGTTTCTTTTCATAATAATACCTTCTGCTCACTGGAACAGTCACTAATAACTCAAACTTTTCTATTCCTTCCTTTTTAATCTTTTTTCTTTTTTCTTTTTTTTACAATTCTGTTCTCCAGCAAATCCCTCTACCAATGAGAATCTTTCCAGTGTTTCAATTCCACCTCACATTATATTTCTAAGAACAAATTTCTCTAAATTTTAAAATTATTACTATTTAAACTTAAAATATATTTGATAATGTGCTTTCATGGTATTTAATAGTTTGTTACATTATCAATAGAAACATTTCAATGCATTTATTCTTTTCTCTCATTAACTAAACTGAACTCTAGAATGGCAATCTTGTCTTGTTTTTCACTACTTTGTATGTATGTATAATTGACTGAGTTTTTTATTTCTATCAAATGGATTAGATTATTGCCAGATATTAAATTCAGTGATTTTGTTTTCTCTTTTTCTGTGTAGGAAACTAAGGATAATAAATTCCTTTGCCCCATTTATGACCTTTCTTTTGATGGCCTTATTTATAGACTATCTTCCTTATTTTCTGAATTATACCATTCGAAGGTATTGGAGAAACTACAAAAGAAAAGTTAAAATATATATATATATATACCTTTGCAGTAATAAATTTATAACATTGCAGTAAAAATTCTCAGCTGTAAAAACAAACAAACAAAAATTCTCAGATGTAAAATATCAATGTGGACAGATGGGGTAGGGAGGATGTGAAGAAATATTAATAAAATAAGATTTCCTAATTGTCTTGATTTGTAGCTCTTATTTCTGTAAAATGAAGGTACTGGTTATTTAGGGCTTATATACTGTTTTTAAAATTATATGTACTTGCAGGCAAACATATAAACCTGAAATGGATATACAACATAATATACCAACAGATACATATAAAATGTGACCTGATAAATCTGTCAGATTTGTGATCTTCCCTGAATTAAATCACAATTTAATTTTAAAACATCTGATAGTAATCACTACTATCTAAGGGTAGGCCTTTTAGAATTAAAAAAAAAAGTGTGTATGTGGCTAATTCATCAAGACTATCACTTGAATGGTAGGCAGAAAGGGTAACAATTGTCAATACTAAGATTATATTTTTATGTTTGTATATCTTACATTTCTGTGTAATTTGCTGTAATAATTATAGTATGATAGAACTTCACAATTATATAGGACCCTGCAAATATTTAAACCCATTCATTACTTTTATTATATATGAAAAAATTAAGATTGTGCCAACATAAAAATGTTAGTCTTCTTTTGACAGCTCTTCCAGGTGATAAATTCCTCTGGGGTAACCAATGAGGATTATGTTGATGCTGATTGTTTAAAACAGTAATGCGTAATAGGGATAGGTTTGGCTGTAACACTTAACCTGAAACTTTCTTAGTTTTAGCTTCCTTATCTGTTTAGTACTAAAAGAATAATTATGAATATTAGATAGTAGATAACTGTTGAATTTATAATTTTGGAGGCTTAATAAAATAATGCATGACTTCTGGCCTATTGCAACCACTTAATAACTATTGATTTTTTTCCTATTTAGGAACTATATATTAAAATTACATAAACTCTAATCTTTTATTTGGTAACTAGGAATGCTCTAAATGGTAACTTCTGTTTGTTCAATAATTTCTATTTTAAATGTCAGTTTGATTAGATAATTTCCTGAGGGTTTGTTTTTAGGCAAAGGAGCATGCTAGATGTGGTAGATCTAATAATGTAAGAAGATGCTTTCCGTGTCCACTTTCTGTGCCTTCATATCTTGAAGTCCAACAGAAACATGAGTTAAAAACATACTGAGCTAGAATCGCTAAGAAAAGTACAGATAGGGGAAACTACATTAAAATATGCAAAGCCTTTATCCAACATAATAGTAGGGGATCACCATATTACAAATATTTAGGACTCTATTTTAATTATGTACAATTAAGCAGTTTTCCTCATGTACTAAGACTCCCCAGCTCACAGTACACAAGTCTTTATGTCTGACAGGCTTCCAAGAAGAAAAATTTCCTCTATAAAATCTACAGGACTTCTTACAATGGCTAACTTGGACTGTGTATTTATTTACAGTTTTGTCACTATAATTGTATCACTCGACTAATCTCTTTCCTTAGTGATATTTCAGGGGAAATGGCACATTTTAATAAAAATTAATAGAAACTTCTCAATTACTGGTAAAGATACTATACCTCATTTCGAAACTGAGAAATTTGCTAAAATATTTAAACATAAAAAAATCCTTTTCAACAGCATATAGTATCCCAAACAGTAAACATCCTTCTACATTTCCAAATAACAACCTGTATAATTTCAGAACAGAATTCCTTATTTCTCTTCCCTTCAGCTACCAGTTTAGAAATCGAGAAAACTGTTACATTCCTGGGAAGGGAATATCTGTTTAACATGGTATAGAAATAACTGCTTTTGTATGGATGTGAAAGCAAGAGCAGAATACTTCTTGCAAAAGAACTTTCAAACTGCCAAAGGATTTTCAAATGTCAGGTACTTTCATGGGATTTGATTTAGACATTAAGATGTCTAAAGGTAAGTTAGAAAAGTAGAAAAGTTTCCTTTGAGGATGTTATCTGTAAAGTTGAAAAGTCTCCTGATTTCTGCATTCTTCATTCACACTAAGAGGTAATGTTTGTGACATATGCATCTGTTTGTTGCTTTGGCTCTTGCAGTTTAGACGAGGGTAAGGCTGCTAAGTCTGTATAAGCCATCTGTCAATGAAGCTTTGGCCGGGCATCAAAGGCGCAGGGGTGTATATCTCACCACTCTGAGGAAGACGCTAACGTTTACCAGCAAGTAGCTGGGCCCCCAAATCTTGGAGAACAAGGGCAACTTAACGAAGACCAAAAAACCTGGCTTCTTGCACTGCTTCAAGCTCAATGGGAAGGCCAAGGCCAGCACGTTTAAGGTTTGTTCACGCAAACCCCAAAAATCTCCAGGCCACCACCTGGAAGAGCGCCAAGAGCCAGAAAATATGCGGCGGGGGAAGAAGTCAAGATAGTGGCCAAAGTTCGAAATAGGACATAAACTTACAACAGTCAAGGCTAAACCTGTGAAACCTATGGAATCGCGGGCAAGATGGCGGTGCCCAAGGTACAACGCGGGGAACGCGTTTGCTTAACATTCGGAAAAGGTTCTATTTCTAGTGAGCTGTATACCTAACACACCATAGGCCTTCTGGGTCAGTGTAAATTTTACCTCGCTGCCTATTGAATATATCTGTTAAGTATTACAGCCTCTTTTCATAGAGAAAATGGTTGGCTCTGAAAAGAGCCTTTGGATTTAAAGGTAGGACTCACTCAGGAAAACAATTTACGCCCTCTCCCCACGAATGCGGCGCGCAAGCTGGATGTCCTTGGGCATGATAGTGACACGTTTAGCGTGGATGGCGCACAGGTTAGTGTCCTCAAAGAGCCCCACCAGGTAGGCCTCGCAGGCCTCCTGCAGCGCCATCACCGCCGAGCTCTGGAAGCGCAGGTCGGTCTTGAAGTCCTGCGCGATCTCCCTCACCAGGCGCTGGAAAGGCAGCTTTCGGATCAGCAGTTCGGTCGATTTTTGGTAGCGGCGGATCTCGCGCAGGGCTACGGTGCCGGGACGATAGCGGTGGGGCTTCTTCACGCCGCCGGTGGCCGGTGCGCTCTTGCGGGCCGCCTTGGTGGCGAGCTGCTTGCGTGGAGCTTTTCCCCCTGTGGACTTGCGGGCAGTTTGCTTGGTACGTGCCATGGCTTACTGTGAAATCAACGGACTAGAAGACTTGGCTTGCTCCTGTATTTATACAGGAACAGCATCACTCTGATTGGATTGTGGACAGTTCTTGGTAGTCATCGGTTGCTACATTCCGGAAGTGCTAGAAGGGATTTATGATTGGTTTATTCTTTCTGCGCAAGTTTTTGATTGGTAAATTTCAATTAGTAGACAATTACCCCCTTTTAAACAAATTATTTTCTTTGATAATGCTTCAGACTTTCGAGCATGACCCACAAACACATTAATCGTTTAACTTAGTATTTTTGAACTTCTGTCCTGTTTGACTATACAAGAGTGTGAAAGAGAAAGTGCTTTAAAATTCCTTTTCAAAACATCCGCCATTTTTCTGCTTAACCAGTTTTTATCAGAATGTTATTCCCCAAACTTTTCCAGTTATTTAAAAATCCATTGTCTAAGCCTCTCCCCATGATTCCTAGTTTTATTATACGTATATATCTAACTCACTAAAACATGGCATTCTTAGATGTACTGTTTAAACGAAATAATTTTGCGTTCATTTTGGGTACGTGCATAAAAATTCTAGTATCTTGGAATCCCTGGCTCTTCAATATCGGGTTTAAAGTAAACGCTATATTTTTTGTTGAAATCAAAATGTCTCCCCGGGTATAATGGCAAGAGCTAACCGCCACCCCCGCCCCGCAAAAAAAAAAAAAAAAAACCTGCAATGTAAAACCTTAAAAAAGATGGCGGCGAAGAGAGTCTTAGGCAATTTCTTTGTAATACCACAATGACGCAGCATCTCGGGTTTCCTGCTGGAGAAACCTGAGGTGTCTCTAGCAATTTATCTCACATCCAACAGAACTGTTGTTTGGACTGCACTCATTCAGATAACAGAATTTCTCCCCTTGTTTTTCGGGTCCAAACGCGACAATTCCCAATTATTTTGGAAATTAAAAAAGGATCTTTAATGGAAAGACGGTTCTGTGAAAGCAGTTAGAACAGAGTATTGTAAATCAACCTATCGGATTCTCGAAAAGGGTCCTTTTTCCAACCAATAAAAGTAAGCAGTTCTGTACTCCTAATTTGCATACTCATAATCTATTGGCTACTTTGGTCCAATCAGAGTTTAGATTTGTAAATTGTGGTTTGTATAAACATACTATATACTGCAAAGGCTGATGCAGATTACCAGTGACATTGGTACATGTTCCAATGCCATGTATATGAATTTGTTCCAGGGCTCGACCATCATCTCCAGAGAGACTCAGGCGGCTGGCTATGCAAACTGTTTGAGGAGGGCACCAAGGCTCTCATCAGCTCCAAATAAGTTTTCTGGATCTCACTTCTCTAGGTGTTTTTTTCAGAGCCCATATTTCTAGTGCATTTTGTAAATACGTATTCTGTTTTTACAATTTAACCTGTTCTAAAAATGTAAGAAACACTCTTGACAGCGTGAGTGGTTATTTGGAATTTTCAGTGCAAAAAAGAATTTGTCATATAGCTGTGTAGGGTGGGCAGTGTGCTACAGTTTTAAAGGTTTCTAGTATTGTTTAATTCTGGACTTTTGTAGTTGTGGTCCTTAAAGCATTTAAACAGTGATGTTTTAAGTGCACTAATGCCATAATTGTTTTAATTTAAGTTTAATTATTAAACTTATTCCATAGTTATTTAGGTTTTAAAAGGATTGTATAGTGGTTAGCTGTGGAGTTGACTTAATGCTTAAATTATTTGTTTTTTGATTGTTTGAAAAATGGTATGCACACTGTAATAGTAGTACACTATTAATCATTAATTGTGTACTTTACAAATTTAAAGCTGTGTTTTATAGAGGTGACACAATGTCAAATGTACAGTAAATACTGGGCTAGTCCTGGTGAAGTTTAATCTCCTTACTTCTGTTACTAGAGGTGTTGACTGTTTCCAAGTAAGTTTTCATTATCCACTTTATCTTGTGTTTGTCTTGAGGCAATCTATCTATTATTGATTTAACTTTACCTACATAGGGTTAATACATGTTTGAAATCATTATTTTGACCCATTTTTCTTTTTTATTTTATTTTGGTATTCTCTGCCTTCAGCTGTTGTTTGGTTCTTTATTCATTTAGACAGGAAAAATATCTGTAAATGCTGGAAGGACAAAGGCTATGGAGAAAAATCTATTGGTTTCACATGCAAATGTTTTGAATTAGTGAAAGCAAAATGAGTTAGATATTTTTCCTTTTGCATTTGAGCACATGTCAAGGCTTAAAAATGTGCTTTTCAGGTAGCCAGCAAGGCATGACCAATGTTTGTGTTATTCCAGATGTGGGTACAGGTATGGAGGGTGCCATAATTGTGAAATAGAATATTCACATGACAGGAAATACAAATCTATATCTATATCTATACCTATCTACACATATGTATACATATGAATTTAATGTAAGATTTAATGTTTACACAAGGGTAAACCTCAGGAGAGGGAATCACAGGGGCCACCTTATGAGTCTGTCCATCAAAGTTAGTTATCTATCAGGAAAAATAAGATGTGTAAGAACCCAAAGAAAATTTACTAACATAACTGCAACTCTCTCCTTTACCCAGTACTTTGATGAGATTGGATGCATTCAGGGTGGTATGGCTGTAGACCCTCACCCAGTACTTAGGTTCAGTTAGCCATCAGGTAGAAATCTATTCCAGGTAAGAAGGGCACTATATACCTCAGATGCTTTTAAATAAGCACTGCCAGTGACTTCATGTAGAAACTGTAGGAGAGGAAAAATTTTTTTTATTTCTACCTTTCTAAGATTCCAAGTTGTCAAAGTTCTGGGCTGGGTCTCCTGTACCAGACAGATTAACAAGAGAGAAACACACAAATTTATTTAATATACGTGTTAAATGATATGGAAACCTTCATAAAGAAATGACCCAAAGATGTTCAAGTGGAACATTTATATCATGAATTGGATAAAGAGTAGTAAATTACAAAAAACGTTACAAGACAAAGGGGCTTGGGCTAGAGCAATTAATGTTGGCAAAGTAAATGAGAAGACAAGTTAGTTTAATATGGTTAGTGTGTACAGTTTTTTCTCCACCTCCCCATCTCTGGTGATAAGAATGCTACTTTCATGTTGGTATAGGGAGGGCATCTCCTGATTTCAGAAAGAAAAAGAAAAGATCAGAGTGCCCTTCTTACAACTGCTGTTTTTAAAGTACGTACATTTAGTTCAAAATAGTCCCTGTGCTATTGTGGCATATTTGGAGCTGCAATATTCTGCCACCCTTCCAAGCCAAGATGGAAGACACAGTTTACCCTGTTCTTACTTTGGGACTTCTCTTTTCTTTTCCATTTGTAAGTACTGCCACATTAGGAAACCTATGGTATAGCTGAGTCCTGGCACTTGGCTATTTGTTGATGGATATCAGTCTCTGGCTTCTGGCTAACAAAAGAAACCAGAGAGTTTGTGAGATGAATTAAAGCTCTTGCTTTATTATAAAATATCAGAGAACACATTTGACAAGACATGAAACAAATCTCCAATACTTATGGATTAAAAAATATTTTAATAGGGGCCGGGCGTGGTGGCTCACGAGCCTGTAATCCTAGCACTTTGGGAGGCCGAGGTGGGCGGATTGCTCAAGGTCAGGAGTTCGAAACCAGCCTGAGCGAGACCCCGTCTCTACCAAAAATAGAAATAAATTAATTGACCAACTAAAAATATATATACAAAAAATTAGCCGGGCATGGTGGCGCATGCCTGTAGTCCCAGCTACTCGGGAGGCTGAGGCAGTAGGATCGCTGAGCCCCGGAGACTGAGGTTGCTGTGAGCCAGGCTAATGCCACGGCACTCACTCTAGGCAACAAAGTGAGACTCTGTCTCAAAAAAAAAAAAAAAAAAATTAATAGTAATCAGTTTAGATCATCCAAATATAAAATGCTTTAAGGGAAGGAGAGAATATAAACTCCCACGTGCCACCTAGGCCAGCTTGTATGTGCCTTAATCTCCAGTTAAGATCATTCTTGCCTTTTCCTTCGGCTCCCAACTATAGGTAGTGGCTGAGCATTTAAAATCTACCAGTTTTTTGTTTTTCCTTCCTTCCTTCCTTTCTCTTTCTATTCTTTCTTTCTTTCTTTTCTTTATTCTTTCTGTCTTTCTTTTGTTTTCTTTTTTTAGATTTGAGTAAGCTAGTACTTCATGTATAGAGCAAAACTTAAACTGGTTTCCCCATGAATATTCAAGCTTTATTTTCAGGAAAATGGTATTGACTCTGGATTTTTAAAATATATAATAGATTGAACAAAACAGTGTTTGAAGTCCACTGGATTGTTTAATTATGAGAGGTATAGAAACTCTAAGAACCAGGAAATAAAGACTACCAAAGTGTTGTAGGGAACTTAGGAATTGGGTGGGAAAAGCACCGACTAGGTGCTTATGTGGGTGGAGAAAGATTTCTCATGTAGAGATTAACATATACAAATAGAAAAGCTTTTTTATCCTTTAGAGGGATACACAGAATCAGAGAATATGAGAGAGAGAGAGAGATCAGGGAGGAAGAGAGCATGGAGACAGCATGGCATCCCAAAGAAAGAGATGGGCAGCAAGGCCAAGAGGCTCTTTGATTTTAAGAGGGACCAAGAGAGAAAAAAATAGTGATGGCTGTCACTTGATAACAAAAGCAGCAGCAGGTAGACAAAAAAAAACTGCAAGGATGTCAAAGTCTAAGAGTTGGTTCCCCTTCCTTTCCTTGGAGAAGGGATTATCACAGGAAATGTGACTCTGTCCTTGAGACATGGTTTAAACTGTAGTTCATTCTCCTGTTGTTTACTCAAGAATTCTGTAAAAGCAGATTCTTAAAAAACAATTTTTTTTTTTTTTGAGACATAGTTTCATTCTATTGCCTGGGCTAGAGTGCCATGCCATCAGCCTCAAACTTGTGGGCTCAAGCGATCCTCCTGCCTCAGCCTTCCAAGTAGCTGGGACTACAGGCATGCGCCACCATGCCTGGCTAATTATATATATATATATGTATATGTATATATATATACATATACATATATATATATATTTAGTTGGAAAATGAATTTCTTTCTATTTTTAGTAGAACCGGGGTCTGGCTCTTGCTCAGGCTGGTTTTGAACTCCTGACCTCGAGTGATCCACCCCCCTCGGCCTTCCAGTCAAAAAACAATTTTGAAAGAGAGACATTTACATCTCTTTTTAGGTTCATGCAGCTCTTTTCAGAAGATGTGCAAAATGGAATTCCTGCAGGGTACTTGTTAGTGAGAGAACTCATAGGACTGATCTTTAACTGTTAATGGGGAAATTATAGGATTAGGTATTTTCCTGTTATTTTTGCAAGGCCACCCCTTTCATTTTGAAAATCAAAAGCGTAAATATTAGGTCAAAGATTTAAAACACTCAATCAGTGAGAACTGTTTACTTCAGGAAAATCCATCACCAATGCTCACATACTGACTTCTTCCCTAGTGTCATTCTGCCATGGGAAAGTACCTTCAGTTCCTTTTGTTGGGTCTCAGAAAACAGTTCCCCAAAGGAAGGCCTCTGAAGCAAAACTTTTTCTCTGATCTCCTGTCTCCCAGTCCCTTTGTTCCTGGAGGCTAACCATAGAAACTAGAATCCCTCTTCTCCAAAACAAGTCATAAAAGTCAGAACCCTTCCCCCAGCCCCCAATTCAGTGATAAAAGCTAAAGTTATTCTATATAAAAACTGGCCATAAAGAAATTGTTTGACCTACCTTGTTTGACTGTAGGTCAATAAGACCCCCATTCCAGAGAGAGCCCCACTCTACACCCAGAAGGAAAGAATGTATGCTCTGAGAGGCTAGGCAGAATCTATTAATAGACAGTCTTTGCTGGATTTCCCTACTCAGTCTATTAGCATTAGATCATACCTTTTTTCGACCAATATTGTTTCTACATGGCTGCCCATACTTTGTTGAATTTAAGCATATAAATGAGCAGTTTCCCCCATGTTTTTGGATCTTCATTCTGAAGGCTCCCATGTGTACATGTTAAATAAATTTGTATGCCTTTTGTCCTATTAATCAATCTGCCTCATGTCAGTGATTTTTCAGAAAATCTTTAGGAGACCAAAGGCCTTGGGATCTACACTTTCATAATCACCATCTCTGTTTGTCTAAATCTTTGATTTTAGAAGTTAGTGAAAACTTACATAATTATATCAAAATTTATCTGCTCCCCTAATTCAATTAGCAGTTCACCTCTCTACACCCCCATACACAATTCCTCTGAGGATACTTACTGTTTGATAAAGTAATCAGCAACTACCTGTGGCTATAGAACATTTGAAATGTGGCTATTGCTGATAAGGATTGAATTTTTAATTTTATTTAATTTAAATTAATTTAGTTTTAAAGACTGATACTTCATGCAGCTATTAGAAACTGGTGGGTATGTTTGAAGACAGATATGTTAATTTAATTTCAACAGTAAAGTTTATGAAATCTAAATGCAAATTGCTATTTCCAATAAAAATTGTATTTCACACTGAATAAAATTTACACCAAATTTGGAAGACTTAGGATGAAAAAAGGAATAGTGCATTAATACTTTTTATATTGATTGCATATTGAAACATTTTGATATTTTGCATTAAATATGATATAGTATAAAGATAATTGCACTTCTTTTTTCTTTGTAAAATATAGTTAATGGAAAATTCAAAATTACATGTGTAGTTTGCATTATTTTTTATAGGCAGCATCGTGCCAGGACTCTCCATTTCCCTTATATGTTTCCTGATTCTTTACCAAATCTTGATAGCATAAGCTTTGAAACAAAGTGGATAAACAATATATTTCTATGAAAACAAGTTACAGATTCTGGACTCAAGCTAGAATAAAGTGTTATATATCAATTATATCTATATCTAAACATATGTAAAAAATTACATTAGGGAACTAAGGGAGGCTTTTCAAATAAACCAGTAGGCATCAAAGGCAATAATAGATGGACAGTTAGAAAAATTACTGATATTTGAATTCTTTGATGGCTAGATAATAGTAGATGGAGACTTACTTGAAATTCTATACTAATCTTTTTTTCCTCAAGTGTATGTTTTTGAGGGAGAATGTCCAGAATTTATTCTTAAAGCAATTAAGGTCCCCCAAAGCTTAAGCTTCTATAACATGTACAATAGAATATACATTGTGATGGTCAAAAAAGAAAAGAAAATTGTGGAAACACAAAGGCATTTCATGAAAGGAAGGAAGGCCAGAAAAATGGTTTACTATACCTGCAAGCTTGGTAAACATCTAGAAAGACTGATATAATAAAATCAGGTTAATTACTTCGGAGTCCAAAAAGGATAAAAAGTTAATCTACTATTTGATTAATGAGTAAAGTGAGAATGTCAAGAAATTATACCACAAGGCTTCATAGACATTTATCTTGCAGTTACTATATTTTTATTTAATGTTTCTAGTGTTAGGGTTCAGGAAAAAATACTGCAAAATAAAGGCCTAAGAAGCAGTCTGAGAAGCGGAAGTTTTCCTCTGAACTTCTCCTGCTCTCCTATCTCTGAGTCCCATTTTTACCCCAAGCATAGCCATAGAAACTAGAATCTCTCTCCCTAAAGATGGGTCATAGAAACCAAGACCTCTTTTTTCTCCAAACTAGCCATAAAACCTAAGTATATTACCCTGACTTTCCCTTTGCCTTTCTGTAAAAAAATGGCTAAAAAGAAATGATCTGACATAACATGTTTGACTGTAAGTCATAAGACCCCCATTCCAGAGATTGTTCTTCCCACATACAGAAGAAAGGAATGCATGCTCACAGAGACCAAGAAGAATCTAGACAGGCCTTGCTGGGTTTCCTGCTCTCTCTGTTAGCATTAGATCATACCCTTTTAGTCCAATTGTATTTCTACAGAACTGTCCATACTTTGTTGAACCGGAGCATTAAAATGGGACAATTTCTCCTATATCTTTGGGTCTTCATACAGAAGGCTCCGATGTATACACATTAAATAAATTTGTATGCTTCTTCTCCTATTAATCTTCCTTTTGCAAATTTTTTACTGAACCTTCAGAATGCCAATGGGAACTTTCCCCTTGGCTCCTACACTTTACTGATGAATTATATGTTAGAAACATTTATTATATTTTTTAGTCTTCTTTTATTATTTTGAATTTAACACTTTGATAAGTGCATACCTTTATGCACCCAATTAAGAATCACATACAATGTCCTGTATAATAAAATCCATGAATGTACTTCACATTCCAATTTTTAAAAATTCATTTTGTTTGTTTTCACCATGAGAGGTAAAATAAGTGAATATACTACACCAGCTTTTATTTGAGAAAGCAGCTGACTCTGAATACAGCTTCTTCTAGTTCACAGAAAATAATGGCCTTGGATTATGTCCTCTCCCCATAGATTCCACAAGGATGTATATACCTTTGGGCATGACAGTCACTTGCGTGGTGTGGATGGCTCACAGGTTGGTGTCCTCAAAGAGCATCAGATAGGCATCCCATGCCTCCTGCAGCACCATCACCGCCAAACTCTTAAAGTGCAAGGCGGTCCTGAAGTCCCGGACCAGGCTCTGGAAAGGCAGTTTGCCATCAGTGGCTCTGAGTGGCGGCGGATCTCCTGCAGGGCTACGGTGCAGGGGCCGTAGCGGTGGGACCTTTTCACGCCGCCGGTGGCTAGCGCGCTATTGCGAGCCGCCTTGGTGGCCAGCTGCTTGCGCCGGTGGACTTACACGCTGTCAGCTTGGTACAAGCCAGGACGACAGAAAAGAGTAAACGGACTGCATTGTTGTACCGTGCAATTTCAGCTCATATTTAATGAGCAGACCGGTTCGGTTTATCCGTCCGCGCTGTGGTCTCATTGGTCTTCAGGTTGCTTTCTGGAAAAATGTGATTGGATTTCCATTAAAGTTAAATATTTTTCCTTTAGCATTTAGTCCACTTTTAAGTTTAGGTCATAAAAGCTAGATTTTCTTTAATGTCGACTTGAGAGTATTGTGTTATTTCGTTTTTCTGAAAAGAAAAATAACAAGTTTGAAAATAACTTTTAGTGGTAGGAATGCCGTCATTTGTAAAATTTAAAAAGCCCGCCCTGAAGTGTTATTGGTCAGCTATGCTTCTTTGTTCTCTCATTTCTGTATTCATATTTTGGCTTTCCTGACAGCAAATGTACATAGATACCCAGCGTGTGTATAATTCTGTGTGCATATATGTCAATACACATACACAAAACGATGTATTAGCATCTTGAGGCGTTATGGATCTTCCTACCTACCTTTTTGACAATTTACATAGCCTACAGCCCTAATTTGTCTTGAGACAGAACCCCTTTTTTAAGACTCAAGACTCTGCGTTTGTAGACGGTTTGTATCTTTTTAGTACCAGGAAACGACAAAGATTTTTTTTTTTCCCCACAGATACAGTGGTGCACAAAGCAAAGGTTTTAAAAATAAACCGGCCTCTTTGGGGTCAAGAACTGAATCAACATGTTTTAAAGCTTTACGAAATGTCGCAGATAATAAGTGAATAAAATTCTTAGGAGGTTTCGTATTTCAGCACTTTCCAGAAAAGGTAGGTGGCTCTGAAAAGAGCCGTTGATTTCTAAGACTGGGAATCGCTGATGGACTGGACTGCTAAGCGTTTCACTTGCCCTTAGCCTTGTGGTGGCTCTCGGTCTTCTTGGGCAGCAGCACAGCCTGGATATTGGGCAGGACGCCGCCCTGAGCAATGGTAACACGACCCAGAAGCTTGTTCAGCTCCTCGTCATTGCGGATGGCCAGCTGTAGATGGCGCGGGATGATGCGAGTCTTTTTGTTGTCCCGGGCTGCGTTTCCTGCCAGCTCCAGAATTTCGGCCGTCAGGTACTCCAGCACCGCCGCCAGGTACACCGGGGCGCCGGCTCCAACTCGCTCAGAGTAGTTGCCCTTGCGCAAAAGACGGTGCACGCGACCCACCGGGAACTGCAGACCGGCCCTGGAAGACCGCGTCTTGGCCTTAGCCCGCGCTTTGCCGCCTTGCTTTCCGCGTCCAGACATAGCGACTACCAGCAGTGGGAGAGCTAGCTGCCACAGGAAATTCAGAAAGGAGTGTTCTCAAAGGAGGAATAAGAAGCCAGTTATAGAGGTGGGTGGGATTGTGAAAGGCGAGGTTGGATTGGTTAAAGTTAGCTTGTATACTAGCCAACCAATGACAAAGAAGACATGATGAACTCTAATTTACATATCCTTCGTCACTAATACGTTTTCAAATCAGAGCTGGCTATTTTGAATACCTTATTTGCATAGAAGGCCTATAAAAGGGGAGACTCTAAATGCAAGCAACCATTTAAGGTTGCTCTTCATTAGTCTCTGTCGTAAATTGTGGCGACATGCCTGAACCGGCCAAGTCCGCTCCTGCTCCGAAGAAGGGCTCCAAGAAAGCTGTGACCAAGGCGCAGAAGAAGGATGGTAAGAAGCGCAAGCGCAGCCGGAAGGAGAGTTACTCCGTGTACGTGTACAAAGTACTGAAGCAAGTCCATCCGGATACTGGCATCTCTTCAAAGGCCATGGGCATTATGAATTCCTTCGTGAACGACATCTTCGAGCGCATCGCGGGTGAGGCGTCTCGCCTGGCGCATTACAACAAGCGCTCGACCATCACCTCCAGGGAGATCCAGACGGCGGTGCGCCTGCTGCTGCCGGGAGAGCTGGCCAAGCACGCCGTGTCCGAGGGCACCAAGGCTGTCACCAAGTACACCAGCTCCAAGTAAATGTTTCTGGTCATTGTCAAATCCAAAGGCTCTTTTCAGAGCCACTCCACAATCTCAAGTTAAGAGCTTTAATGCTAAATGGTAATGTAGTCTCTAGTTAACAATATTGAGTTTAACCTGTTGTGGTCCCATCAATATCTTGTCTTGTTTTGGACAGGTAATTTGGGCAATTGCACACAAAAGGGGTAGGTGCATAGTCTTGTAAGACATCCTTATTTAAAAATCTGTAATTCTCCAGACTTGGCAGAGTATAATGGCAAAGGTAATGCATGTAACAATATCTTGGATCAATAGTGCCTCAGGTTTGTAAGAATCACCATAGAGTTAACCTGTATAGCTAGATTCATCATTAAGTGTTGCATTGGACAACTAGTCCGCCACCAAAATACAGTGTTTTGCTGTATACATTGGTTACTTTAACAGTCGTCATGTCCTTTCTCTGCCCACCACCTCTAGAGGTTTTCATTGTTTAGTTATGCTTTATCATACCATTGTTTTCTTTTTACTTATTTTTTTTGAGACAGAGTCTCACTTTGTTGCCTGGCATCAGAGTGCCTTGGCATCAGTCTAGCTCACAGCAACCTCAAACTTTTGGGCTCAAGGAATCTTACTGCCTCATCCTCCCGAGTTGCTGGGGCTGCAGACATGCACTACAATTTCCAGGTGTGTGTGTATATGTATATATATATATATACACACACACACATATACACACACTTTTATAGTTTAGCTTATTTCTTTTTTTTTAGTAGAGACTGGGTCTCGCTCTTGTTTAGGCTGGTCTAGACCTCTTGAGCTCAAAATATCCGCCTTGGCCTCACAGATAGCCACCACGCCTGTTTTCAATGTGAAAGGAGCCTGAGGAAATCTCTAAGGACTATTTCCACACTGTTCGTTAGAGAATTGTTCTCAAGCAAGAAGGTACTTGGAATCATAGGAGTAGGGATATTTGTCACAATCGGAATAAGGAAAGTAAAACTGGTCAGAAGAGACCTATCAATAACTTCGCATGGCAAAGTCCTTATACTAGCAAGTTTCTTTAATAACAATAACAAAATGGTAACCTTTGGGCCCTAGAGATCACCTAGTAGCAAGTTTAACTTTCCTAAGCACAGTATTGTAAAGGGAAAACTATGGACATTGGTAATGTAAACCTGAGTACAAAAATCTCATTTTCTACTCATTTGCTATATTTCTTCAATAGGACCCCAAAAAGAAAGTCACTATCTCCCATCTACCCTCAGCACTGTATATGTTGATGGGGTTCAGAACACACTATTCCAAAATATGGCATCTTGACAATTAAGTATTTAAATGTGAAGGAACTTGGCAAACAGCATGTACAGGAATGTCCTTCTTACCTTCTCCTACCTTTTTCCTCTGAAGCAGGTCATAAGATCCTCATGTGAGACAGAGTCTGAGGGGACTCAGACAGAGTCTGCAGAGTCTGAGAGGAATCTGAACAGACCTTGTTAGTCCTTTCCTTGTTTATTACCTTTAGTTCATGCTCCTTTTTTTGTCCTGTTATATTTCCCCAGTACTCCCCACTTTTCATCAAACCTGGTATACAAACACTTAGGTTTAATTCATTCCTTCTTCAGGTCTTTATTTCCTTCTGAAGGTTCCCTTGTCATGTAAAACTTACATTAAATACATGTGTAAGTTTTTCTCTTGTAAATCTGTCTTTTGTTACAGGGGTTCCAACCTATGAACTGAAGCTGGTTAGGAGGAAAAAATGTTTCCTCCCTACAGGGTACACTTGGTGTGGGTGTTTATCTGTGTTCTGTGGGTTTGTGTGTCTTTCTAGGATAGATAGAGAAGCAGGCATTGAAAAGATCCCAGACAAAAATAATCAGACAATGTAAATTTTGAGAAATGTATTAGGGTGCTATAATAGGCTGTCATAACAAAGTACCACACACTGGGTGACTTAAACAAGTTTGTTTTCTCACGAATCTGGACGCTAGAATTGCAAGGTCAACCCTGTAACCAGAGTTAATTTTCACCACCACTCTCCCTGCCCTGGACTTCTCTCCTTGGCTTGTATAGGGCTGTCTTCTGCCTGTATATTATTCACATAGTCTTTCCACTTTGTGCATGTCTGTGTCCCAATCTCTTCTTATATGGACTCAGTCAGATTGGATTAGGACCCACACCAATAAGCTCATTTTACATTTTTAAAGACACTATCTGCAAATACAATTACATTTTCAGGTATGATGTATTGGACTTCAACAAATAAATTTGGCAGCCAGCACACTTCAGCCTGTAACAAGAAGTATGGTGATGATGCTTCTAAATAGTACATGTACTAAGTATTCCACAGGTGTCTCAAGCTCAGCAGGAACAAGACTGGTCTTATTATATTCCCCCCAGTTGCACTTTCTCATCATAGACTACTATCTCTCCTTTTCTGCATATATGCAATAATATACAAAGTCTTATTGATTCTAACTTCCAAATGTGTTTTAAATATTGACTATATTTATTTTAGCTAAAAACTGGAAATATAAATGAAGAGTAGGAGCTTGCCTAAAAATAGTTTTTTATCCATAATGAAATAAGAAAATGAAATAAAAAAAGAACTAGAGGCTCAATGCCAAAGGGTAACTGTGTTGATAGATTATTTTGGGTGAAAGGACAACCTCCTCTGAAAAGAACTGTATTTATTTGGCTCTCTCCCAAACTCCCAATGGTGTGGTTAAGAAATGAGAAATTCTTTCTCAGGGCCTTTCTTCTAGAAGTCTCCCTGTCCTATGTTAAGAAAAATAAAAATAATGTATTCGACAAATAATTATTGAACACCAACTATGTACCAGGTATTATGCTAGGTTTGGTATACAAAAAAAGGAATAGGATAATTTTAAGATAGTATTTCTTAGTAAGGAAATTGAAAAATAAGGAAGAGAAAATGTTCCTAGCATAGCATAGAAGGAAAAAATAGACTAAGAATTATTTGTGAACCACCTAATATTATAATTTGTGTGACTCTAAGTATATGTTCTTATTTATAAAATATTGCCCTATCAATGGGTATGAAAGAGGATCAAATGGGAAAGTTAAGCAAAATAGTGCAATGTGACTGTAAGGGCAAGAAAAACAAAAGGGATTTTTAAGGCAAGAAAGTGACATAATTCTGGGCCATGTTTAACCCTGGGAGGAGTAGCAGGAGAAAGACAGAGCAGGCCAAAGCAGCTATTAATAATACTTTTTATGCCTCATTGGCCATTGTGTTCAAGCATGGTTATGATATCCTTTATAACTTGTCTATGTTATATAATAAACTATTTTAATGTATCTATAATTATGAATTCAAAAGCAAATAATAATGGACAAATGTATTAGTGAGAAAGTCATTTCACCTTCCCTAAAAAGTCAGAATTTGCTTAAGCTATTAAATGTTTGTATTAGAAATTTAGTTCTAACATAGAAAATCACCTCTTGTATTCCAGAAGTCTGTAGCAAAGTAAAAGACAAGCAGGTCAGATAATTCTGTTATTAATTAGGAAAAAAGACAAGTTAGGGTACTTTACAAAAATCGCTACGAAAATACAAGACTTGTTTTTTAAAGAGTCCTTCTTGAAATATTTACCTTTCTGCCATGAAAATACTTCACATGTACAGAGAAGTATTTAATTTTATCAATTGTAAATTCATTCAGATTTGTAATCATTTTATTCATAGTCATTCAGCCAGGAACTTGTTCAGATAAATTAAACACATAATTTAAGTTTAATGTACTCAGTGCAAGAACTGGTTTTGTAAAAGACTAGAAAATTATTACATTAATCAGAACCAATGGGGGAGGGACAAGGGGAATTTTGCATGGTTCCCTGTCCACTGTAAACCTACACATTCTTGCATTCGCCTAAATGGCCTCCAAAACCTGGCCCCATGCCACTTGTCCAAGCTCAACTATCACTTCCAATACTGACTTGAATTACACTCTTTGGACATCATATATAGTATTCCATTCCTACTTTCCTTTTCATTGGGGTATTTTTTGACTCTCTAAATACACTGTAGATTCCTCAAGGGCAAGGAAAAATATAATTGGGACTTGGAGGATATGATTTGCAATTTTAAAAACTGTTGTCACCGAAAGTCTCATAAAGATGATATTTGAAATACAAACCTGAAGGAAGTGAGGAAGCAATACCTACAGAGGAGGCTGGGAACAGTGGCTCACACCTGTAATCCCAGCTACTCCAGAGGCTGAGGTCGGATGATTACTTTAGCCCAGGAATTTGAGGTTTGCAATGAGCTGTGATTCTGCCACTGTCCTCCAACCTGGGCTACAGAGAGAGACCTTGTCTCAAAACAAAAAAACAAAAAGCCAACAACAACAACAACAACAAAAAACTACAGAGATCTGGATGCTGAGTGGCCAACACATAGCAAACTATTAATACATAGTCCCTGAGAAAGATGTATATATACTTTGAGCAGATTTGAGGGGCTAGTGGAGTTGGGCTAGGAATGAGAGAAAGAGTAGCAGGATTTGAGGCCAAAGGAGTAAAAATGGCCAGAAGAGTGGGGGCCTTGTAGGCCACTGAAAAGACTGTGTTTTCCTTTGAGTGAAATGAGAGCCATTGGAGGATTTTCAGCATAGCAGTGACCTTGTCTGAATTGTCCTTTATTGCAATTCCTCTGGCCGCTGTGTGAGAGAAAGAAAAAGGAGAAACCGATGAAGAGAGTGATATAATAATATAAGAAAGAGATGGCAGTGGCTTGACCAGAGTGGTAGCAGTGCTAATGAGAAATGATTGGATTCTGTTTGTGTTTTCAATATAGGGGTGATTGGACTTACTGATGGATTGGATTATGTGAAAGAAAAAGATGAAAATGACTCCAACTGAAAGAAAGGGTAGAAAGGCCATTCACCAACTTCAAAATGATGAGAGGAACTGTTTTGCAGAGATAATGAAAGTAATTCTGTTTGAGGCCTATTTAACTTGAAAGTCTATATTAGCTGTACTTTTTTTTTTTTTTTTTTTTTTTTTTTGAGACAGAGTCTCGCTTTGTTGCCCAGGCTAGAGTGAGTGCCATGGCG